CGCAGCTGACATATTCGGTGGCAGGGGTGTGCTGAGGAAGTTGGACACATAGTAGGTATGCGTAATAACTGCTACATAACACTAATATTATAAAGTTTATTTGTTTGGTTTTTGTCCGTCAATTACGTTGAAACTGCTGAACGGAGTTTGATGGGATTTGGTATACTTTTTAACCCTATTAAACGCTCCCATGGGATAAAATAGGAATCATATTCTACGCGGACAAAGTCGCGAGCTACAGATAGTTAAGAATAATACAAACCCAGCTTGGTAAATGTTAAACTTGTTAGTTAGTAATAGTATAATAGTAGGTACATACCTAGTACCTAATAGAGTCTACATATTTTACAGTGACCGGGCAGCAGTACTCTCTGATAAACCTGAATCTTATACTACGATTTCCAACCAGCTTGGTAAGAGTAGAGATTATGGCCAGTGCTCTGAGGAGACTGTTTCGTTGGCCGAGTGGTCGCAAGTGCGACTGCCGGGCAAGGGGTCTCGGGAAACTTACAAAAGTGAACCTGCTATGCTATTCTGTAAGATGTAATTTCGAAGTGAACTCGATTGTATTCTCGCCCGTCATAGGTTGAGATTATTCTCACAGCCAATGACATGACGGACCGCGATCGAGATCACTTCGAAAGTTTTTTTATAATCTGCTGTAAATTAGAGGCTTTTGGTCACATACCGACCACGCCAGCCCCATCATAAACTAATACAGGAATTAAACGCTATACCGACTTAAAAACCTTAAATACCTACTATTTTGTAAAGTAAAATAGCTGCATTCGAAACAGGCTCTGATAATATACTTTGAACAATATCTATCAAATTATTTTTAAAGGTATTCATCAGCACCACTTCGACCTTTGGAATTGAAAGCTGCAGAATAGCCTAGCTGATTCCACGCAATCTGCAATCGTACTTGCGACAACCTAATCAACGATGCAGATTCAGACAACATAGTCAATTCAATATAAGTACATAGGTACCTAAGCATTTAATTTGTCCTTATGCAAAACAATATTGTTGGCTAGGTTTAGTGGCAACTGGCAACCCTTGTACTCACAAACAGGACACGAAAAGAAATAGTTGTAGATCATTATTATTGGGTTTTATTGTAGACATTTATGTCTCATTTGGTCACCTCCGGCTGACCAAGTGTATGGTCTGTATGTAACATGAACTCATACATGCATTTGAGAATCAACAAAACTGATACCTAAATAAAACTTCATAAATTGAACGACACCATACCTACAACATTTACTTATAAAGATACTTATATACTGCGGGCTAACTCTTAATTCTAATTCCGATCGATCGATCGATTGGTATTGTGAAATTTCGTACTTTTGATTTGCAATTACTAGCGCCCATTGCATCCGTATTGCGTGGATATTAAATGAAATACATGGAATTAAGTTTGGCTTTATATTCCGTACTCTGAATGCTATTGTAACAGCTACGATTAGGGTTGTAGTTTGGCATTGAATAATTATTAGCATTTTATTGGATTGAAATTGCATTGATATCGAGATTGGTTTCAAGAGGAAGCACCCTAGTACAAGTTATACATATTATACCTAATGGTACTATTATAATACCTGTTTAGTTGGCAGGTAAGTAAATAAAGATTGATTTAGTATAGATGACGGTATCTAAGTACGTTATAGAAGATATGGTTTGGTTAAATAAAACCTTATAATTTTGTGTAGTACTATTGTAAACTACAATTGGAATTCTCGATTCGTTCACTAGATATAAAAAGTCTTTCTTATTAGTAACCTACCACCGTCATGAATGAGTGCACATTTATTGCTCCAAAGAAATTTATCGATAAATATCAAAGTATCATCGCCTCCCAATAATTCGTCGATCCCTATTAGCATAACGAAGTTAAAACAACAGGAGGGCAGTGACTAACTCGGGAATTGAACTCTGGTCCCTCAACACTGCAGTAAAAAGTAACGTAAGAGTTGTAATAAGTTGCTCATCGTGGACGTATGCGCAGCTGCCAAAATATGACGCGTGGGGTGCGTGCGCGCATAAAGAAAGAAATAAAATGTGATGCTGGCTGAGAGGTGAGTTTTGTTTATTCGAACGATATAAACCTATAATGTATAATAATAATTATATTATATATAATAAAGGGGATATAATCAAGGGCGCTTTTAATTTTAAAATTAAAAAAAAAGACTACTGTGGCAACAAAAATATGTGGCAAAAAATCTAAGTCTCTTATTGCTACCTACCTATATATAACGACAAAGTAGGTACCTCACCTACTCTTACTAGGTCACCAACCAGGATATCAGCGATACAAAGAATCGGATATAATGAAGCAGGAAGTGCAAGTCACTCGTGTAACCAGCTATCTACAGACTGCCGCTACCGGCGCCGGCGTAGTCCTACAGATGCAACTAGCCGACCTATTGCAACGATATCTCATCCGGTTTATAAGTCAACTGACAAAAAAAATTATCGTATAAAATCGATAGAAAGAAATCTGTAGACATTTTACACTAACGTATCTTCTTCAAGAAGTGTTGAGCCAAATAAAACTACAAAGTGCAGTATGCAACATAAAACTTCATAGTCAAAGTCTAAGCATTTATTTCAATGAAACCATAATTTGGTACTTTTGAAACGTCAACAAATAAAAAATAAATAATAGTCTGTCAGTCAGTCCGTCGGTGAAGCTAGGTGCTCATTCCAAAATGTAGATTCGGATGGAGAAAAACGATTTTTCTAAACAATTCAATATTTGAAACGAAAACCTTTAAAAAGGGAGAAAATATATAAGGGATAAATTTATAATAAATACCTAGTCAACATTTTCTAACACCCAAATACTGAAAGACTACTTACCTACTCAATTTTTTAAGTTATAAGTACTTAAATATCGTCGTCATCATCATCATCTCTGTTATTTTACAAAGAATTTGTAGCGACAGAACTATACTTCATAACAAGCGCGTCTAGCCTTTAAATATTCGGGCGGAAGACCATAAGAGCTATCAAAGTTACTTAGCTCTCCGGACTCCGTAGAATAGAAAACATTCTAACACATATCGAACTGGCTGCTTAAAATATACGAAAACTGCGTGCAATATACGCTCAAATGTGTCATAAACTTATAATTAAAATGTATCTGAATGATAAGACATAGTAATAAAACTTTCATCACAGAACAGTTGTTAATTACCAGTCACCGTGAGAAACCGAGGGCAGAGGGCGGATTCGATTCCCCGGGGGAACTACTACTGCCCCGTGTAAACAAGCTGACGTTGGGCTCTCACCTAAATCATTTGATTATCTTAATGATTTTTTGAAGCGAACATTAATGATTTGTAAATAGGAAGTACTTATTCGATTAGTAACTAGTTATTGGGGAGTTTCTATGCTTAAATTACAGACTACAGACACCGGGCTATGGCCAAAATTACCTAATGACTGATCTTAATGTTTTAAGTAGGTACCATGTAGTTACTTTTTTTGCCAAATTGACCAGGCGTATGTAAGCTTACTTAGCAGGTACTTACCGAGGAGTTCCATGTGCACCTAGCTGAATAATTTGTTTTAGATATACAAATTACCTAGGTAAATTATGCGAATACGGCGATTGGCCATTGACCTCTAAACGGCTGATACAGAGTTCAGAGAACCTTTTTACAAAGCACCAAGAATTCACGTTACACCTAATCTAAATCAACAAAGTGTCTTAAGAATGAATGAATCTTTTTGATTGAAAAGACAATTTTCCACCTTTTTTTATGGCATAAGCATAGTAAGCAATCCGCGTCGCCCATGGACACCTGGAACACCAGAGGCGTTAAAAGTGCATTACCGGCCTTTTGGGAATTAGGAGTTTGAGGGTCGTTCGGGATTCAGGGATTGGGGAGATCAGGGAAGGGCAGGGTAGTTGGGCCTCCGGTAACCTCACTCACACGATGAAACACAACGCAAGCGTTGCTTCACGTCGGTTTTCTGTGAGGCCGTGGTATCACTCCGGTCGAGCCGGCCCATTTGTGCTGAAGCATGGCTCTCCCACACTTAAACCTACATGTACTCGTAGCTCTCGTGGGTGAACGCTCATCAGCAGCTGGAGGGTAGATGGGGTGCACAGGAGCTGGCCCTACCATAACACAAATCTGCAGGATTTCAAGGCAGTTGCTATCATGCGGCGTCCGAATGGTGGAACAATACACCTCCTTATTAGTTTTAGACGAAAGCTCAAGTTTAATACTTATCACACATGAGCAGCCTATAACACCTAAGATCCCAATGTTGAAAGGTCCCTTCTCATAAGGAGAACTGAGAAGTTTGGTTGGCTTCTCAAAAGAAATAGAGCTCAAAGCTTATTGCTACCTCGTTAATTGACAGAGCACAGCTTGTACGTAAATTAGGAACACTCCTTTATCTGATGCTGTCAAAAAGTTGTATAGCTTTGCAGGTCTTTGTTTTATTAAATAGATATTAAGAGTAGTTTGTTCGTAAAACTTATAAGTTTATATTAGGTTATATGTTATAATAACTTTATAAGACATAAGGTGAAATGGAACTGTCATGTATTTATGTACAAAAGTTCCTAATTAAATAAAGTAAAAAAAAGTAGGAAGAGCAGTAGTTACAATATTTTATTAATTTCACACAAACTCGTCAACAAACTCGTCACAAACAAAAAACATCCGTAGTCACTTCACTAGTAATCACGTACCATTCAAGTCGTTAATTAGAAAAAAAAACAGTAACAAAAATATAATAACTATGTTGAAATGACAAATTAAAGCACATTATCTCACTCCGTTCAAATGTGTAGTCCCCGCCCAAAAGCTAAGCTCCGCCCAACGTAGCATGCGTGCGCGCATCACTAAACGTTCAGGAATTATCCGCTGAAACTCGGGTGTAAGCAGACGTGTGTATTAAGAAACAAACGCGAAGTTTTAGAAGTGAAAATAATTGTTTAATTGGTGATTCGTGTTTGGTGACCACGTAAACAGAACTTAGGTACTTAATTCATTTAGTATAACTAAAATCAGTGCTACAAAATACGGAAAACCTAGAGTTTAGCATCTTGGAAAGACCCGTCACCGTTCAACAACAAAAAATAACTACCAAACAAGAAACAACATTCTTTAAAAAATCACTAATGGATTATCTAAAATCCAACTTTACCACACAGCCCGAAGAAGCTTTAAAGTACCCAGATAGTATCCAACCCTTGCATTACCAGCCCATCTTCGAGCAGGAAGTCAATAGCTCACCAGGCGAGCTCATCCACCCTGGCTATCTACCTTTCTTTTATGACTATAGAGCAGTTGATAGGGGGTTGTGCGAGGCCAGGGAAGCCTGTGACTGGGAGTGGGGAGATTGGGAGAGCCATATTGTGGTGAAGGAGGAAAGTGAGGAGCAGGGAAGGGCGTTTGTAGAAGGTGAGTAAATATTGCGCATATAAATTGTATCTATTTACTAATATTCATTCAAAATTCCTAGATAAATGGTTAGTTTTTCACAGAAACTCCATTAAAGTACATAACATAACATCACGCCTTTTATCCCCGAATGGGTAGGCAGAGGTGTATGTTACGGCACTTAATGCCACTGCATAATGTAACACCCACTTTTCACTACTTATGTTATGAGTCCCATGTAATAGGGGGTGAGCCTATTGTCATATACCGGGCACAACTCCAGACGCGGAGTCTGCAGTTGTGTAGCTACTGAGAATTTTAAACAACCCAGTATTGCTTTGCCCGACTATGGAATACCCCTGCTCGCAGTAGCACTTGCGAACCCTCGGCCAACGAAGCAGACACTCCTTAAGTGTCAAAAATCCGATGTAATCTCATTATAACATCGGTTACCTATATTAACTTCGGGCGATAAAGCATTAACTTAATATCACGCTTGTTATTTCCTGCTGGTATGTATGACGTGCATTATTTTTGCAAGTTGTCTAATTTGCGCATAGGTATTAGCATTTGGGATCAGTAGGGAAATTATGAGACTGTTTATTAATGGTTATACGTGTAGATTAGCCATGATTGTCCTACTGCAGGGCAACGGCCTGGATTATAAGTAGTCTACAAAAAATATTTAGCTGGGCTACTTTTTACCCCGGTAACGAGGGCAAACCCGCTGAAGGTGATTAAAATTGCAAATATTTTAAACACATTCTAATTCTAGATATTAGAACACATATTATACCTCTATAAACTTATTTCAATTGTTTCGTATTTTAAGTACATTATTTTCTTATATTTTGATGATTTTTGTTATTTTCTTTATGCTTTTATGTTTGCTATTGATATTATGTATTTGTGTAAGTATTTGTATTTTTTTATTTTTCATAATCTTTGTTTGTGTGCCATGTGCCAAATAAATGCTTTTTCTTTCTTTCTTTTCTTTCTATTATGTTCCAATGTCCAATAAACTCACGATCATAAATCAAAACTATACAACTATACCCAGCATCAATAAACAGTACCACCTTCCTGTCACACCTCAGTTTACGAGTGGAAATGTGCTCAGGCGCAGGATTCGCGACACAAACATAGATCGGTAATAAAGTGATGGTAAACAATGGACAGTCGGCGCCGGCGCCGTAACATCTGCTACTCGTTACACGACGGATGCTATTGGCTGTTAATCAGATTAATTAGATATGGTTTTGTAAGATTTTAGACCTAAGAGTACCTAGATAATTTTAAGCCTAAGTTTCTTTAGACCTTTTAAGAACAATAAAAATATTTAGAACGATTTGGGTTGACTATTTGTTTGTTGGTTTAACTTCTGGATATATAGAGTAAAGCATTAATGGGAAAATCTAATTAAACATGTACAGTGGCTTAAGTGCAGTAATGTGCGCTTCTGTCTACCACTTCGGAGATAAAAGGCGTGATGCTATGTGTATGTCTAATTAAACTTAATTTAATAAATAACTCAAAATTCACATAGCATAACATCACGCCTTATATCCCCGAAGGGGTAGGCAGAGGTGCACATTATGCCACTGTACAATGTAACACCCACTTTTCACTATTTATATTAGAGTCCCATCTAATTGGGGGTGAGCCTATTGCCATATATCGGGCACAATTCCAGATACCATGCTAATACTGAGAATTTAAACAAAAATCCCAGTAAAACTTTGCCCGACCCGGGAATCGAACCCGAGACCACTTGCCCCGACCACTAGGCCAACGAGGCAGTAACTCAAAATTCATGTGACAATATTTTTAACAGGTACCCAATCTCCAGCAGGCAGTCGCAAAGAGCGGACTGCGTTCACGAAGGCTCAGATTCGAAGCTTGGAAGCAGAATTTACACGAGCCAACTATCTGACACGACTGCGCCGGTATGAGATAGCGGTCGCATTGCATTTAACAGAAAGACAGGTAAACAAATACCAAAATTCATATTTTATTTTGATTTTAAGCTCTTCAAATCTATCTAAGTATAATTATATGGAATTGCACAACTTGATTCCCCTAGTCCTTTGCATCATCGTACCACAAGACAATCTGCGAAGCGTCACCGATTCATAGTAGATGTCCCGCCCACACGCACGAAGCGCTTCGCATCAAGCTTACTAGTGCGAACTGCTAAAGAGTGGAATTCTTTGACAGTCTGTATTTCCTGAAGGCATATAACCTGGGTGTCTTCAAGGCCTGGGTGAATAGGTTGCTTATGGGACGACGTGCTCCATCGTAGACCACATCATCGCTTACCACCAGGCGAGATAGTGGTCAAACGTCGGCCCATCAATATAAAAATAAATAAATGATATCTATGATGTTCTATCTAAACAAAGCTTGTTAAATCTAATCCGAGTTTGATTCAGCATTTCTTCTCAGAATAGTCAGTTAGGAAATGTCGGCCATTTTAGTTTTTATTTATTGACGTGTAAAATACGCTACTTATTAGCCTATTAGCAAAAATAAATTTACTTGTTTCACTAGTAAAATGACTGTTTTATGATTATGAGATGTTTAATTGCATGTAGAAAATAACTTAAGCGTATTTAAAAGAAGTTACAGAACGTCAAGCCTTTTAATCTCGAAGGGGTCGGCTCGGCAGAGATACGCATATACCAGTATATGTACCACCAGTGTTACATTTAACACTCACTTTTCAGCAATTATGTTTTGAGTCAGGTTAATGAACTCCAATAGTACTTTTCTCAAACAGCACAAACAAGCAATATTTAAATCAAATTGTAATTAAATAAAATGTTCGATTTATTTTGTTACAGGTTAAAGTATGGTTTCAGAACAGAAGAATGAAGTGGAAGCGGACGAAGGGCGCCAGCAAACATCAAAAGAAGAAGGATGCTAATAGTACTAATTAATTTTCAAGTATTTTAGGTCATAGAAAATTAGTTTTACGTGTTTTAAATTAATTTACTTAGTTGATGTAAATTTATTTTGTTTTTTACAAACATTACTTCCGTAGACGTTTATTCAAAGTAACACATTATAATTCAACTGTTACTAGTAAATAGGCAATTAATTATAAACTTAAATATAAGTGTGAAGAAAACACAACAAGTCAGGAGATAAGATATGTTTATTAGACAATTCATACCTCCGGCACGATGCAAGACCCGTGCCGAACAAATAATAACTAAAATAATAATAATATTGTGAACTATCGCACTATCTTTGGAAGAAACAAAATATCCGGGCTATGGGCGGCTACAATTTGTTCAAAAACTTAAGAAAAATCGACGAAATTATAATGATAACAACAGCGGGGGAACTTCCAAATTACTAAAATACTAGCAGTATTTATATAACATTGATGCAGTCAGGGCGGCGTCAACGACACTGGAAGCAAGCTACATACAGCTTCCGAGCCTAACACATCCATCGGTCTTTTATTCATTTTGGCAGTACATCAGAAACAAAGGTATCCAGGCCAGGAGAAGATATCACAAAGTATCGATACAAGCAATGTTGAAGCTCTACCTAGCAAATAACTTGAAATCATTACAACTACATAATTGAAAATTACAGTTCCTTAACCTAAAGATATCGTCAAATAACTAAAACAGTCGACACAAGGACAGTCGACGAACGAGACTAATTGGAAGACTACGACAGTTTACAGAAATATAAAGAGATTCGAATAGTTCATTAGCAATGTTAGGAAGCAAGGCGTATACAATCACAGTCCATGTGCCTTCAGAAACTGTATGTAACTCGAAGTGAGCATGGATCGTTAGGAACGTCGCCTTAACTTACGTTAAATTTTCGTGACACTACCTTTAACATTGGACCTAGCTATATCGTTGGACCAAAAATAAAATAGCTAAATTTCAACAATATAGATATATAATTATCATGTTTTAACATTGCCCCTGCGTTTGCCGATGTAGTGGTACGGGGTTCTTAGTGCCTCTGGCGTATACAATTATACATATACTATCTGTAGTTTACTATACAATTTAACGTGAAAATTAACTATCGACTCTCACTATCTTACGGTGTAACCCAGCTTGTGGTACATGGTCCTTTATATACTTTGTGTTCACATACAAACAAGTAAACAACCATGATTTCAGACTAGCTTAACTACCATTAAAACAAATTGTCTTTCATTTCACATGATTTTGACAAATAGATTGACTGGTCGTGTCTGAATAATGTCTAGGACGATGATTGTCGCTTCGCATTCCAAATAAACGGCCAAGGGATATCGTGTTTTTTACATTTCAATTTCAAGATCATTTCGCGAAGTCCCTCTAACCTGCACATTTATTTCAAAAATATTATCTGTTACCTAGCTTTGATAAAAAAATATACTTTTAGACAACATCGAGACTACAGCAACAAACGCAGGGCACTCATCGAGAGCTTTTAGTTTATTTATTACATATATAAAAGTCGTCAGAACTTTCCGTTTATTGGCTCCCGTGATATACTATGTACAGTGTGATTACATAAACTTTTATATTCATCTGTCAGGCACAAATTTAATCACCAACTTTGTATTTAACATTCATTAATTTTACAATGTTATTGTTATACGGGGACATTTATAATTAGCTTATAACAACTTCTTAAATATTTTCTATATCATAAGTATGTATAATGGATTCACAAAAATATTGTGTGCATTCTAAATTGAGACAATGAATGAATCATATACTTCGCAAAATCATTGTTGAATAAATAAATAATAATGTCAGATTGTACTTTATACTAACTCTAAATGCCCCTCTGAAACTATTATTGTTACGAATTTAAATCAACATACGAAATCAACATGTAAAACGTGTATTATTCCAAAATTATTTATCTCTACTTAATTGGATTTTAGCTCTAAATGAGTTCCTAATGCATCCTTATATATAATTAACAATTGGAAAAATATGTTCCGAGTGATATCCTTACAAAGTTACGCTATACATTACTTTACATAATTGTCTAGGTTCATGCGAATGATACGAGGTGATGCGGCGACCGCCATTCTTCCTACGCCTACATCGGCGAGCTAGTGGCGAGCTAGCGAGCTGCTACAGTTGCCATGGGCACTGACACACTGCAACACCGCCCTTATTGCTACGTCATAAGGTCGACGCCTTACCAAGAATGTGCTATTTCTTGCACTATCTACATACACATGTCTATACCAGATTGGATTCAATCAGTCCTTATTTTCCAGGACTTGCACATTCCAATGTAAACTACACTTTATTGTTAACATTGTAAAGATTAAAATAGCAGTGTGATACAGAGGCATGTTTTCTTTATAATGTTAATAATACAGTTAAATTCCTGTCCTTCACAATGGCATTGAAGGCAAAATAAATAAATTATAAATGCATATTCTCACCTGACTAGAGAATTTAGAATATTTCTCAGCAAGGAACTATATTTTAGTATAATAGTCAGGTTTGATTATAAATAGTAACTAATATGTAAGCAGGCCTCTTTTGAACTTATAATAAATTAGTATTAACCGAGTTAATGTTGTTTTCATTGTCACAAACCATATATTATCCCTTCATTGCGTCATTACTTCTGTAGAGTACTCACTCATGGAGGCAGACACATAATGCTCCTTTTAGATCATAGCTACACAAGTATTGAATCTAAAAGGCAGTCCATGTTACCTTAACGAATATACTTCATAATCTGTCTCAGCTACAAGTACGTCACACAAGTGAGTCTGTGAGCACAGTAGCATGCACGACACCTACAGGATCAGCACAAACCATCGCATCATTTGCACAAAATGAAAAGAAAAAAATTAAAAACCTTCAGAGTAATATATTTAACACATTCCTTGTCACCATTTTCACAGCACAATGTCCGTCACTACACTAATATATACACAGTATAATTATTAAGGCTTTTCAGGTGCTTTCACTTATTGCAAACGTTCGGTCGCGGCGTCAGTCGGGCCCGAGAGACACGAGCACGTACAGCAGGCGGCGCCGACGTTAGGGGCGCGGCGGGTCCGTCGCGGGCACGAGCCCCGCCAGCCCC